GGACTCCATTATGGAGTGCTTTGCTCCATTCTTCAAAAGGTTTGGGTATTGTGTTAATCAAGTGTTTCAAAGACTTGTCTTTGAAAATATATGTAGTTTGACTATATTTCTGATCATGTTGATAACTTTATTCAACTACATGGATATGTTTTCTCCTATCTCGATCTAGGACTTGAGAAGTAAATACAAGTGCTTCAGAAGAACAAGAGGGGATGGGAACTGCTTCTATAGGGCTTTTGGCTTTTCCTATCTAGAGAGGTTGCTGGATGACAGAAAAGATTTGGAAAGGTGAGTAGCTGAAAAGCAATTGTGTTGTCCATAAAGGGATGGCCCCGATATAATTGGATGATACCATACCTGCATTATTTGGACTTGAGCATTGAATGTTGTTGATGCCACATTGCCTCTTGTTCTTTAGGTTCAAAGAGGTTGCTGCTAAAAGTAAAGATATGCTGGTGTCCCTTGGATTCCCTGCCTTCACAGTAGAAGACTTCCATGATACTGTAAGTTATGGCATGACTGAGATAAGTTGATATATAACTGCAATAAATATGCTGAAATTCTAACCCTTTAGTGGCTAGCAGAAGGCTACAATCAAACATGGACAGTCATTACTTAGTCTTAGTTCTTCCATAATATGGAAATGACAGTTCATATTTGATTAGAATAGATCTAGCATACATAAAACTATATATGGTATTCTAGTCTTTTTCACATGTAATTGGGAGAGAAAGTACTTTAGCTCTCAGATGATTGATTAAGGGTTAATGACCCGCCCCGAGGTGAATATGGTGGGATAAAGCATTGTCAGTTGCTGTAACCACCGAATAAAGCCACCAAGTGAGCGCAGCGAACGAGGTGGCTTTATGAGGTAGTTATAGCAACTGACAAGGCTTTATCACACCATATTCACCGAGAAAGGGCGGGCCATTAACGCTATTATCACATAGCTTACACGATAGCCTATCCAAACTGATGCAGTTAAGAGTGACACAATGTACAATTTACCCCTTGCACATGCTGAATAGAACATAGAACATAGTTCCATCTGGAGTCACTGGGGAAGGGTGTGTTCTATCTGGGTCAAAGGCAGGGAACAGGTGTTCTTATGGGAGTCACCCGAGGTCATTGGAACACAACTCAAGTTATTTTTGGATTTTTTAGAAGAGAATCGTGTTCTATATGGGTCACCTGAGGTCATATGCGGGTGATTATTGGGTTGTTTAATGTATGGATTGGGATTAATAAATACCCGGTTTTGACATGTTAATAATATCACAACTAAGGCAAAACAGACATTGGGAGTGATTAAACGTAATCTATGTCCAACTAGAGTAAAATCACTTGCATACACGTCACTTGTAAGACCGAACCTAGAATATGCCGCGACAGTATGGGATCCATATGTCACGGTGGCGTAGAGAAAACACGGAGACAGAGATAACGTGTCCTGTCATTTCTTTAATCTCTTCAAGTCTCCTCCTCCGTAACGTTACCTTTCTAGAACCCCTTCCTTCGAACAGGTGTCGTTGCTACCTGTTCGAACACCCGTGGTGATCACGTGCGCACGGTGTGCTCGAACAGGCAGCGAACCCCCGCTCGAAGGAAGGGTCTAACTATTGCTACTACAATGTAAGTGCTTAAATCTTAATGTATAACTGTCACTTCGTGACACATATACAAAGAAAGAAAAAGACAAATTGGAAAGTGTACAGAATCAAGCTGCAAGATTCTGTATGAACAACTATGAAAGTTATATGATAATATCCAATAACAACACAGAATGCCTTGATTATAATAATTGTTGTTTATTGATTGATCGAAGATAAAAGAGTACAATCGCTAGCATGTTGCAGCGCAACTAATAAGTAGTGCTGAATTATATGCTAGTTTAAAAACAGAGATACAAATATTGCACAGTTAACAAATACACAGCTAGACAAGTGAGTATTTCACATTTAACATATAGACAACTAAATATTAAGCGAGTAAAATGAACTTAACAATATTTACAATATCAACATCATCAGTGTAAAAATTATTAATTATATAGTATGTTACGTGATAACTGATCTTGGGTGGGCCGGTCATGGGAGATTTACTATGTGCCATATTTGTTTAATAGACTTGTAAGATAGGGGATCGGGCTATTTTTGTATCGATTTGTTCTCGGGAGGGGGGCAAAGAGCTGGTTAAACTGTTTACATTTTCTAACATGGATCGTCTCTCGGCATGGTGGGAGCCAGGGTCTAAAGGGAGAGTTAAAAAGGGATCTGGCAAATTTCAAACTTAGGTCCTCCCTCCTCTTTTCAAGGGAGGGGAGACCTAGGTTGGATAAGGCGTCGTTATAGCATGTGTACTCAGGACCAAGGGTTATCCGTAATGCACGTTTCTGAATGCGTTCAATCTTCCTGGTTTGTAGGGCCGTAATGCCGGAGGTCCAGATGGGTGCTGCATATTCAAGAATGGGGCGTATATACATTTGGTAAAAATCGATTAGGTCATTTGAAGGGAGCCCAAAACGTTTCAATTTCTTTAGTAGGAAGAGTCGGGAACTAGCTTTGCTTATAATGGATTCAACGTGCTTGTCCCATTTCAAATTGTGGGATAGCCATAGGCCGAGAATACATGCGTCATCTGTATATTCTAGTGGCTTATCATTGACGGAAATTAATTGGGGAGGGGGGCAATCTCGCATAAAGGTAATCATCATTAATTTACATTTGTCAGCATTCAATGTCATGTCATTTTTGGAAGCCCAAACATTTAATTGATCAAGAGATGGTTGGATAAGGCTGGGTTCATAGAGAAGTCTACTTTCACAAACAGAGAGGTCGTCGACATATTTGTATCGATTTAAACTGTTGACTTGGAGAGCATCATTTACATAAATCAAAAACAGAATGGGACCTAATTTCGTACCTTGCGGGACTCCAGATGAGATAGTTTTCCATTGTGAGGTTTTACCATGATATCGGACACACTGCGAACGGTTGGAAATGAAATTGCAAAGCCAAGGCATAACCGACGTACGTATCCCACATTCCAACATCTTATTTATCAATTTTGTGTGATTAATCCTATCAAAGGCTTTGCTGAAGTCGGTTAACAAGATGGTCTGTATATTGTTTGGCGTTTCAGCGTTAAGGAATAAAAAATTCGTCATGGTAGTCAAGTAATGAACAGTTGACATGCCTTTTCGGCTGCCAAACTGATTAGGATCGAGGACTTTTGTGACATCAAGGAGAACCCATTTTGCTACGAACGATTCAAGAACCTTAACAAGTATAGACGTCAATGATATAGGTCTTAAGTTGTCTATAGAAGCTGGTGTCTTTTTCGGGATTGGGGAAATATAGGCCTGTTTCCATTGTTCAGGGACGACGCCTTCCTCGAGGGACGAGTTGTAAATGTGGGTAAGTACTTCAGTAAACTCTGCAGCGAAACATTTCACAATTTTAGGGGATAGGTCATCAGGGCCACTACTTTTATTCGCTTTGAGTCGTCTAAGTGTTTCAAAGACTTCCCATTCATAAACACGAGGGGGCTCTGACGGCGACGGGAGGTAAGCGGGTAATGACTCTAAGTCAAGGGGAGGTAATTCATTAACAATTGTGGAGAAATGGCTGTTTATCAGGTCAGCCATGTCTCCGTCATTCAGATGGGCAAGGTCAGGGGAGGAGATCTGTACTGGGGGTTTTCGACAGTTTAAGATTTGGCGCAGACATCGGTGCCAGTCGGCTGGGTTGTCTTTTTTGAGATGCTGAACTTTGGAAACATAGTGTCGTTTCTTAGCTTTAAGAGATAGGTGGATGACTTTGTTTCTAAGACTCCTATATAGTGACATGTTTCCCACATGGAAAGCCCTTTGGCGTTTCTTGATGGTAGTCTTTATTAAGGGGGTAATCCATGGTTTGTCACTGTTGTGCTTAATCACTGATTTATAAGGAAAATGGATATCAATTGCTGTTTGTAGTATTTTGTAGAATACGTCGACCTTATTTTGAGTGTTTGGGGCGGCCAGGACCTCATCCCATGTATAGGTTGAGATCCACCTGCCAAATGAACGAATATTCGAGTCCTTCATAGGGCGAAAGGTACATTTTGACTTGATGTTGGTAGACGTATAATTTTTAGGGCGCCAAATAACTGTATTATGATCGCTTAGACCAAGAGGTTCTTCGATTTTAGGGATCTCGTATGACTTAATGTTGGTAATTATTAAGTCGAGTGTGGAGTCACCTCTAGTTGGTTGTTTAACAACCTGAACTAGTTGGGTTCCACGGAGAATGGACATGACTTCAAGACGATTAAAATCTCCCATGACGCAGATCCCAGCATGTGGGTATCTAGTACTTATTTTATCGATGCTGTCTATGATATGCTTTTCCAGTATATCCTGATATATAGAGTTAGGGGGATTATAAACTGCACAGATAGCTAGACTAGTAATATGACGCGGTAACCAATGTGGTCTCACTAAGACCCATAGACATTCTAACTCGACAGGTATTTCAATAAAATTGATGACATTAGAAGGTATCGACTCCCTAACATAAATTGCTACACCACCACCTCGGTTACATGTGCGACTTCGAGAGAACAAGGTGAATCCTTCTATATTAGTACACTCGGTGGGGTGGTTAGGTGTGAACCATGTTTCAGATATGACGCTAATATCAACGTTATGTCTGTTAATAATGCTTATGTGTTTACATGTATAGATCTAACCTATTGTTTGTATTCTTTTCCTGGGTTAGCTAGTTGGGCAACCCTGGTTGTTCATGTAACATAATTATTCATACTGAACTGAACCAATAAATAACTAACTGAAATAATTGACCTGAAGGTGCAATTTGAGAAAGATGATTCTCGATACTAGTACATGTACATGTTTCACCTTGACTCTTGTATGTGCAGTTCATGGAGGTTGTAGAGAAGGTTGAACAGCAGATCCCAGTGGAGGATTTGTTAGCAACCTTCCGGGACCAGGGCCTGTCAGACTATCTGGTGGTCTATCTGCGGCTGCTAACATCAGGCTACTTACAACAAAATCAAGACTTCTTTGTGAACTTCATTGAAAGCTATGCTTCTGTCAAAGAGTTCTGTGGCCATGTAAGTTTGCAGCTGACTTTTATGACAAGACTGGTATGTTTTAACTTCAAAGATAATGACATTTGGATTTTTGTTGTCATCTTTATACATGTAGAAGGTATACATGCATACGTACATGTAATTGCTGAATTACTACACACATGCTTCCGTTTGGCTGAAATTAGCTCTAACTTCTTCAGCCCAGGTTAGCTTATCAATGTTCAGGACAATGGTATGGAACCACTAGCAACAATAACAGTTACACGTCTGATTGTTGTCCTATAGGAGGTGGAGCCAATGGCCAGGGAAAGTGATCACATCCACATCATAGCCCTGACGTCCAGCCTGAACGTTGGTGTTCGTGTGGAGTACATGGACCGGGCTGGTTCAGAGAAGTCAACCACCATGACTTTCCTGAAGGCACAGAGCCAAAGGTGTTCCTGTTGTATAGACCAGGACACTATGACATACTGTACAAATGAATGATCAACTGTACTGGCTAATTTTACCAAACCCTTGATTAAATATAGAGGTAGCAATGCCAGCTATGGATAAGAAGCTAATGATTTGTGTACAAAGATACGTTTTGTTGAGTTTTTCACTTTCAGACACAGTTGTAAAGTTACTTTGCAATTATTTCTCATATTATTACCATGTTTACTTGCCAACTGGTTTGAATCTAGCTTGTAAAGGGGATAAATGACAAAGAGGGTCGATTCATTTCATTGTAGACAAACTTGGGACAAACATAGATGCTTCTAGGTTATTTTCTATGTCTACAGGTAACTTTGCTCTCTTTTTGGTGGCTCTGACAATTGTAATAGTCCAACATTGCATGGATGCAACTTCCCCCAACAATGCTCAGTTCCAATTATGAAATAACCAAGTCTATCTCTGTGAAAGTACTAGTATCATGACAAGCAGTATTTCATACCTCATTCACCCTCAAACCTTTCTCACATTTGGGATTGGTAGTCAGGTTCACATGGGAGGCAATTATTACTGTAATACCTTCTTTCAACCTTGAAAAATAAAGTATGTTGACCACACAACTGTGTTTTTGCAAGTTAAGTTATTCAATGGTAGCAGGTTGAGACCTTTATTCTGTTTCAATCTACAAACAGAAAAACTGGTTCACTAAATAACAATAATTATTACAAAACATCAGCTTTTTATTGTCTCTGATCATACCAGTACAGTACAGTATATGGTTTGCGAACAGAAGGTGCATATGCCTTCCTCCATAAATACACATCATCATGCTGGGATTGTCAGCGTGTCTAATAGAAAAAGACATGCAGACCCTCTTTAGTGTAGCTGTTGTTTACTAACATTGACAAAACTGAAATACCAGCATGTAGTAATTACAATGAAGCCAAATATAATTCCATATGAACAATGAATTCTTTAGGTCACTTTTTCATGTAATTAACCGTTACAGAGATGTAATGATCATTAATACTACATTAGGGCATTGCATCACCGCAGTTGCGCTTCAGGTCGACCTATTAAACGTTACATGTCACATGAAAATACTAATAAAACTGCAGTGCCAGTAGAAACAAGGTGATATGATATCTCATTAGAACACCATGTACATGCTACTGAAACAGATAACGAAACACTACTAGTATATTCATCTGTGCGATTTCACACATAGCTTTATGTAATATGATAATGACATTAACGTCACATTGTTATATGAACCGATGCTGTCATGTCAGTGCACCAGAGGTCACTATCATCCGGTCAAGTACTTCTTGCCGTAAAACTGTGCCTTTCTTTCAAACGCCTGTGACTTGATGACCGTATTTGGTTCGTAGAATGGATTCATGGCGTGTTTGGCGTAAGTCTCGTACATGTCCTGGAAGAAGTTCTTGATGCCGTCTTCATTTTTCTGGTCGTGCAGCATGATGAGGCGCATCCCGCCAGCCGTGACGAATGCCGACACGAACCACTCGTTAAACCTGTCCACTGTCTTCAGGTACATGTTGTTCGTCATCCACATCTGTTCCTCCACCAGGTCCAGCGCCGCATGGGCGATAAACTGGTTCAGGTGGCGGTGGTCGTCCTTCTTGGTCTCCGCTGGTTTGTTGGGAGGGGCGTACTCCATCTCGAAGATTGGGTTGTCGTGGTGCCCCACTATGGCAAAATAGTAATTCCCTGCCATCTCGGTGGAATGGAATCAGCTGTCTGGGTTTCTAAACAGAGTTCTTAAGTCACTGGGCGGAATCAATAGTCTTTAAAGTGCAGCTTATCGTCGATGACGGTCATGCGAATATACTAAGTATTCTTTCTCGGTGTGTAGCTGCAGCTCGTAGGTGCCTTCCATGAAAGGTGACGTCACGACGATTAATACATTTTGCAGATAGGGGGTTTTAATACTTTACATCAATGGCTGTAGAAAATAGGATTAATGCAAGTCATCTAGACATCAAATCATACAACAGACTAGCTTAAAATTCATTGCTATATACAGGATGTGCATTTTGAAGAACTATAGGTGGCTAATTATTATCACGCTTTGGTCTGTACCATCTTGAAATGTAGTCGTCCAAGTTACAAATGGCGGTTCACACGAACTAGAAGGTTCTTCACAAAAACAACGACGTTCTGACACATACAGCGTATTCCTGCACGTGGTTTAAGTTTGATTGTGAAGCTCATAACCTATAAACATGGTAGATAAGCCTCAGATCATTGCGCACGTGGAGAAGTCTCTAAACTTCACGTTGTTTGACTGCAAGTGGATTCCTTGTAGTGCTAAGTTCGTTGTGCTGGGCAACCATGCCCGAGGTACAGGTGCCTTGCAGATCTATGAAGTGTCCAAAGGAGAGGTCAAACTGCTGAAAGAGGTATGGAAGCTACAACATTTTGATTTATGATGATAAGAAGTCAAGAAAATCCACAGCAACTGCCTGGTAAAGCTGTTATTTAACTTTGTTGGTTGCCATGGAAATGTAATGCTAGTCGCATTTATGTGAGGATGGTGGAAAGTCCACATGCTTTTATATAGTCAGTAGAGTAGAGTAGAGTAGATATTAGATATAGTAGCTCATTACCTTACCTAACATTGTCTTGTAGATAAACATTGTACTTTGAGTTACGTATGTAAATCAACCTATATAACATTACATATTATACATTGTATAACGTTATACATGTATGCTGTCCCCTTTCCTGAATATTATATTTTAGCGTGAAAAGGCCAAAGCTTTCAAGTGCGGCACCTTCGGAGCAGCAAGCCTTCAGCAAAGGAACCTTGCAACTGGAGACTTTGATGGGAAACTGTCAATTTGGTATGTTTCAGTGTATTCTTCACATATTTACAAGACACACTGCCTTTGCTCTGACAGTGAAAAGAGATCTTGAGTCTTTAATTTAAAATGTAATTTGTTGTATTTGACCTACCAGTACTAAGTAACTTAGGTCTTCAACAGATCTCAGTGAAGTAAAATCATATTACTCGGATCATTATTAGTGTCCTTTAAGTCAACAAGTTCTTTTACAATATTTTATTTTAGGGACTTGGAAAATGTGGACACTCCAGTATATCATGCCCCAGCCCACAAGGAGATCATCAACTGTATTGATGGAGTGGGAGGCCTGGGGATTGGGGAGGGAGCTCCTGAGATTGTCACTGGCAGCAGAGATGGTACATTCATGCATCTGTTTGATCATCTCTGACATCTTATGAGCATTTCTGACATGAAGAATGATTCCGGACATTAGCAAGTGATGTCCCTGTACCCATAGGAGTTTACTTAAAAGTAAAGACTTGTTTTTTTTTTTTTTTTCAGGTAGTGTGAAGGTATGGGACCCTCGACAGAAGGATGTGCCTGTAGCAACAATGGAACCCTCTGAGGCAGAGGCAAGGAGAGACTGCTGGACTGTAGCCTTTGGTGGGCCTTCTCTTTATATATAGCCCTTGTGTGTGTATGGTATGGTAATGTTAGTTTGAAAAATATTTGTGTTCACAGTTGAACCACAGTGATTAACTTGAAATTTTCCTATTTTTAGGGAATGCATACTCCCCAACAGAGAGATGTGTATGTGCTGGTTATGACAATGGAGACATTAAGCTGTTTGATCTAAGGAACATGGCCTTACGATGGGAGACAAATGTCAAGAATGGGGTAAGGCTGTAAGGGTAGCTTTGTCAGTTTTGTCCTTGCTGCTCCGGGTGAATTGTAGTTTATGAAACCATAGGCTGGAAACAACAGCATTTGTTTTGTTTTGCCTTGGCCTTGTGTCATTGAAATAAGCAACGAGTGAGTTAAATTCCAGCAGCATTCAGGAATACATGTAATTTATCATTGTTACTCTATAGGTGCACATGCACTAATGAGCATAACTTGTAAGCAAGTTTGCATGTGTAATACATTTGAGTTTTTCACAGACCTGTCATCGTTGCTCTCTAGGTGTGCAGTGTGGAGTTTGACAGGAAGGACATCAACATGAACAAGATGGTGGCAACCACTTTGGAATCCAAATTCCATGTGTTTGACATGCGTACTCAGCACCCCACAAAAGGATTTGCCTCTCTTTCAGAAAAGGTAGGTTTTTCATGAAGTTAAGCATACTGAGGGAGAATGATGTGTTTCAGGCATGTGAATTTAGCCAGACTATTGACATTGTGCAGGATACAAAGAACTTGATTGTGGATTGTAGACCTACATCTACACCTATACAATACTGGGTAAAGTATCTCCCAGGGCAGCACACACAGAGATGTGGTTAGCCCACTCAGTATGGCTGATACAGGTGGTGGCTACCAGCAGAAAAAAGAGTCCAGGAAAGAAAAATAACTTTGCATTTAATATTGTGAGATATGTCAGAACATATCTGAGGTTAAGGCTGCTTTATCTGGAACTTGAATCTCACTGAAAAAAAAACACCACTTTGTTTCACTAGTGTCATCTATTCCACAGGCTCACAAGTCTACTGTGTGGCTAACCAAGCATCTTCCCCAGAACAGAGATGTGTTCATGACTTGTGGAGGGAGTGGTACTCTTAACCTGTGGCAGTAGTAAGTTCATCAACACACACATTTTTAACATTGTAACCTGTCGTATCTGTCTGACCATTGTGGTCTAAGAGCAGAAGTAATAGAACTCTGCATCAGATGTTGGATAATTCTGTATGAACTGCTAGTATTGATGCCAGGGGAAATAACTGGTAATGGTAAAGAACTTGTTGATATGTGACACTTGATTTTCACAATGCATCTTGCTTCCAACAGTTCATACCCAGACAAGAGGGTGAAAGCAGATGACAAGGGCGTGGAGATGGGCGTGGCAGGGACTGTGTCACTTCTACAGAATGTCACGTTATCCACACAGCCAATAGCAGGGTTTGACTGGAGCCCTGACAAAGCTGGTCTGTGTGTGTGCACTGCATTTGATCAGTGTTTGAGGGTGCTTATTGTCACTAAACTCAACAGACTGTAAACTTTTCATATGATGTTTTGGCAGATCTTTTGAATGGAGAAAAACACAGCAGTATATTTGCATTGTCAGTTTATTACAGAGATTATCTAATTTTACTATAGCTCTTAGTCTTGAAGTAGCTGGCCATTGTTGGTTGAAGAGAATGATGACTTTAATGCTTGGTCACCTTTGTTTAATGCAATGTTTGTAACTTTGTACTACACAAGTCGTATCATAGGTAATGTGATAGGCTATCATCTATCATGGTAGAGAGAACCTACATGTGCCTGGTTCTGTAAGATGTGTTACACTTGCAAAAAGCACACTGCATATTAAGAATTAGCAACAGACCTTTTGATCCCATTGCATTATGGTAGATGTGCACTATGGTTAGCAAAGGGGGACACACCTCCCAGAATGCAATGGGATCTGTGGTATAAGACTATAGTAAAGCACAACAGCTGCTCAACACATTGTACAGTAGACTTCAATTATGTAGCATTTGTGATTGGGTGAAAATAACAAACAATTTCATGAAATAGTGAAATATCACAAGATTTAGCATGTGTCTAACATAAATCATCTTGGTCTGTTGATATATTTCAAAATAGTTCTTCAATATCTGTTCTAAATATTTGTACAGATGCAACAAGACTTTTCTGGTAATTTGGTGATTTAGTCTCTATTCCATTAATACAAGCTGAATTTACCACATCAGTGGCATTGTGAGTAAGGCATTTTTAAACAATAACAGATGATTTTTGATAATGATAATCTGTAGTGTATTGTAGCCAGTCTGATCCAATTTTCACGGCACTTCAAGGGCACTTTTGGATATTTTGTAGATGTTGCTATAGGATCAGAAAGATCACTTTGGTCCTAGCATGTCTTGTGGTCTAACCCACTCATCAAACTGCTCACTGGTTAGAAATTCCAGCTTGAGGGCAGCTTCTTTCAGCGTAGTTCCCTCCTTGTGTGCTAACTTAGCAATCTTAGCTGCCTTGTCATATCCTATATGAGGGTTTAGGGCTGTAACCAGCATGAGTGATTCATTCAGGAGCTTGGAGATGCGATCCTGGTCAGGCTGGATACCTACAACACAGTTGTTGGTGAAGGACACACAGGCATCACCCAGAAGGCGGGCAGACTGCAGCACATTCTTCACAATGAGGGGTTTAAAGCAGTTGAGTTCAAAGTGACCGTTGCTGCCCCCAATAGTGACTGCTGTATGGTTCCCCATGGCCTGAGCTGCAACCATAGTGATGGCTTCACACTGGGTGGGATTTACTTTACCTGAAACAACAATTGTTTGTTGCATAAGACAGGGTCCTGAATGGACCAAATTTCTGTAGTCCAAACCTTAGGATTGGTTAGCTTATTGGCGCGCAAGGATACCCGGAAGTAAGGTTCGGATCCAAAAGAAATTTTCACCCCAAAATCACCATTTCTTACACTCCTCAGCCATGTTAATGTTTAATGATATTTCGTGGCAGTTTATGAGAAATGTCACCTCAAACTTGGACCCTCAAAACCTTTTTGTCACTTTTTTACAACGGACTACCACGGACCCCGGTCACGAAAGAACTGGGGTGTGCACCGTTAATGTAGTTCTGTGCCCCCAACACAAGTCCAGACTAACCTGGCATGATGCTGCTGCCTGGTTCATTCTCTGGTAGCTGCAGCTCCCCCAGCCCACAGCGTGGCCCGGACCCCAGGAACCTGACGTCATTGGCTATCTTCATCAGGCTGCAGGCCACCACGTTCATGGCACCAGACAGCTCCACTAGAGCATCATGGGCAGCCAGAGCCTCAAACTTGTTTGGCGCAGTGGTAAATGGGAGACCTTTTGGGAAGGAAGGGGAAAATCAGGATAATAGTTATTCATTTCCTATATCAGTTCAAGAAATGTCTGCATAAAATATTGACAATAAAAGGTTGCATTACAATATGATAGTGATGCAGTAGCTAGTATGATAACTAAATTGCATACAGCAGCATTGTCAAACCAGATGATTACAGGTGTAATCCCAAACAACAGCTATTGTCTATGAAGAAATCCCACCTGTTAGCTCAGCAATTTTGGAGGCAATCTTCTCTGCAAACCCTATCCTGGTGTTGAGGCCTGTGCCAACAGCAGTCCCTCCTGTAGGGGTGAATGTAATCATCACACCTTTGTTATCCTTGTAACAAAGTAGTTTACAAGGTAAAATAAAACTGACCTTGCTCGACTATTAACATATTTAAAATACAGTTTGCTGATGAGCATGAGTACTTGTAAGATGCTAAATTAAAAAATCGGTTCAGTTTACTGTCTGAAGAGCAAGAACCTGTACCTGCTGCTAACTGGTACACCCTGGGTAGGGCTGCAGTGACCCTCTCTATGCTGTACTCCAGTTGAGTGGTGTAGCCGCTGAATTCCTGCCCAAGGGTCAGGGGCGTGGCATCCTGAGATAATACACGAAACCACATGACTCATCTGTCAGGATCAAATCAAGCATATAAAGCCAACTCCTAGTACATGAATCAGAATTGAGTGTCTAGAGGTACCTGTTGTAAGACAAGTATGAACTTTAATGAATGAGCTTTGCAGGTACCTGTGTATGTGTGCGTCCTATCTTGACAATGTCCTTGAACTCTTCAGCCTTGGTCTTCATGGCCGTGTGCAGGGTCCTGAGGCCAGGCAGCAGACACTCATGCACTTCCTGAGCCACAGCTATGTGCATGGCTGTTGGGAATGTGTCATTGGAGCTCTGAGGTAGACAAGACAAAATTAATATTAATACCGGTTCTATATTCCGTAAGGGCCCTTTTATCCATCCATCCTACCATCATAACATAAGCAAATGTTATGGTTTCTACATGTACATGTACCTACCTGACTCTTGTTGACGTGGTCGTTTGGGTGGACAGGAGTCTTGCTCCCCATCTGTCCACCCAGGATCTGGATGGCCCTGTTACTGATCACCTCGTTAACATTCATGTTAGTCTGGGTACCAGACCCTGTCTGCCACACCACCAGGGGAAAGTGATGTTTGTCCAGCTTCCCCTCAATAACCTGGAAGGAAAGGAAGGAAAACACCACACATAATGTTAACTTAATTTTTAAAATATGTATCTCTTGGTTTGGCTGTCTAACTCTCTAAGGTGATTTATCTATGGCCAACTGTCTGACACCCTTTGCCCAGTCTACACATTCTACCATTTCCTTTGCATATGCCAGCCAATCATGAGTGAAGCAAGAGTGACACTTTCATCTTCTTCTATTGTCGAGTTTGATTCCTGACATCCTGACCAAAACCTTTCATGTCAATAATTGCATATGTTGCTACCAATTTCTTTCACCAAAAGTGCCTCCTTTATGCTGCTTACCTCGTCTGCAGCCTTCATTATGGCCGTTGCCAGGTCTGGGTCTAGACCATAATCCTGGTTGACTGCCGCTGCTGCCTTCTTAAGGACACTCATTGCTTTGATGACTTGAAACTGAAAGAGAAGAATTGGCATGAACCCACACACAGGAGAAAAGGAACAGCCTTTCTTTTGCACGAAGAATTGCAGGCAGTGAAAACATGATTGCAAATGATCTTAACTCAGTAGATACATTGTGTATGTTCTGATGACCTTTCTCTTCATAATTGAATCCCATACAATAAATAAAAAAACAAGCTGACATCTAAATTTGGTAGCAACTTTATTTCCCAGGTGAGCGATACATGCTAGAAGTACCTACAGGCATTCTCTCCATCTCATCTCCTATCTTGAAGTTTAGCCGCGATCTTTCTGTCATGGCACCGTAGTACTTGTCTGCAGGGACCTTCAGCTCACCGAAGCTGTCACTTTCAATGCGGTATGCTGTGCTTGCCTGAAAAAAAGGAAAATGAATTGTGGATCAGACATTTTGGCTGATCTGTGTGTGTGTACAACTCTATATCATCATGTAATAAAACAACAAACATCAGAAATTCTGCTAATTCTATGCAAGAAAAAGCATACATTGATAACAACAGCAACATATGTTGATGTAACGTTAAGAGCTGGAGGACCACTGTTACCCATCACCCAATCAATAAACTATCATATAACTCACTGTTAGCAAACAAAGAAGACCAAGGAAACTACGGGTAAATGCTAACGTTAGCAGTAGTATGTGATGATGACAAGCAATGTGTAAAACAATGGTGGTATGGCCCATCAAGGGGGTCTTTTATAATTTGAATGACTTAGCTACAACACAACTGCATGATTGTCAGGTTCACTGGCAACTTGATAACTGATGTAATGTTACATGCACAACCCCAACGTTTATCATAAAAAAATTATGACCTTAAAGGTATGGGTTCATCCCCGACACTGTCATTTGCGTTTAACCATAATACAATACCGTAGAGTCTATTTCAGTTCCTACCATAGTTCTATGTGATCTGAGGAGTTTGAAATGCCGAAAATTCCCCCGGACACAGCTCCACGAGCGGCTCCACCACTCCACTGGGACCAGCCGACAGACTGAGAGGCGGGGACAGTGCGCAGCAACATGGTCACCTTTACCCTTTGGCCTTTCTCGGGCAGGTGGTTACTGCATCCAAACGCACCGCTAATCATGATAGGACAGGTTTTCCACGTCGGACCTTGCTTAATTTGTATCCACGTTATTAAAGTATATTCTTGTCATTTTTTTAACGTTATATATTGTATTATATTTCTGTATCATCATTCATCTGTTTCAATGATACGTTCATCAACACGTTTTGGTGTGATGTAATGTTACTCCAGGTCTGGTTTCCAGGTGAAAGTGGCAAAATGAAAACCTGAGCTGCACGCAGATAACGCTACATATGTATCCATTTTATCATAATAGCCCTTAAGCTGCACCAAATTGTGATTCGGCTCACGACAACGCAATTCTTCTTCTGTAATATCGACGACGTGTTTGTACGGTGTTTTTGCGAGGAAGGTGTCGTGTTGATGCTGGTATGTGGGCGGGTCATCCGGTCATGAGCGGGAACAAACCATGATGGGGACAAGACGCGGCTATGTTTGGTGGACATAACTGATCGGGTCGTGCTACCAAAATCTGCGCAGACAGACAGGGAGGCAGGTAGGTGGTGTTGTATACGACTTGTTGGGGATATCGTTTTTTACAAAATAACCAAGTAACGTGTCTTTCCTTCAGGAGCCTGTGAAACCAAGGAGGTTCAAAAAGGAAGTGGTGAAACCAAGGAGGTTTTAGTTCTGATCTAATGAAAGAACAAACATATTACATGTATTTGGCCTTGGATTGGTAGCCTGGGTGCCAGACTGCTGCCAGGGCACTAGTCAATAGTCTTTTTAATTTTTAGTTCTAACAGTGTCATGGTTCTTGCATGCCTTTCCTGGGAATGAGTAAAATCCCAATAGCAGTGAAATCCATATTCAAGTTAATCATTGATAAGACATTCCTAATTGAAGGTATTAAGGCATTTGCTGGGACAGTACTGTAAACTGCATGTACCCAAATGGGCCATGTGCTGTTGAATATGCTGTGTTGATGTACTCTGCAGAATGGCACTTGTTGATCGAGTGAATCAGCTGCTGGTGTGGCTCCTGCCGTGGACCTGGTACCTGCTGAGGATTGCTCTGCGACTAGCCTTTATCACCGTCAACAACCTGTACGTCATCCCTGCCCATTTCGTGTGGCTGCTATGTCTGCAGCCTGTGCGCATACTGAGACCTGAACTATTCTGGCGACTGGAGGGCATCATGTTCAAGTGGCTTTTGGCACAGGTTGGCTATTGGGGGTACAGTGCTGGATACCAGAGTAAGTATACCTGGGGTAGCTTTAGTTATTTTATACTAGACAAGTAGACATAAACCTTATAGACATAAACCTCATAGACATAAACCTCATAGACATAAACCCCAGAAGTGTTTTTACAACTTGTATTGCTGAGGAAGGACTCAGCTAGGATTCATTATGCTTTTCTATGAATCTTGTGTCAAGCTTACGAAATATATAAGGGGCGGTGACCCCTACCAATTTGGTTGAATGATAATGGTTTTGAGTAGCAAATGTTTTAAATGTCTTCTATATGAAGTCTTAATAATACTGATGAATTTCATTTTTACACAATTATAGGCTAACATTTCATGTTTGTGTTCCCAGTGTATGAGTGTGGAGAAGACATCTCTCACACCTACAGTGACGAGGCTATAGTGATAGTGAACCACCAGTCCACAGCTGACGTGGCCACCCTTATGGCGGCTCTTCAGCACAAGGGTCCGGTGGTGAGGCGCATGATGTGGATCATGGACTACATCTTCCTGTACTCCAACTTTGGCTGGTGTGCCTGGGCTCACGGCGACTTCTTTCTGCAACAGGTTGTGTATTATATTTCAATACAGCTTTAAGTATTGTAGTAAATAATACAAATAAACCTAGTACATGTAGTGCAGCAGGTTAGGAGCAGGTAGACATCAGAAATATCTGCACAGCTCCAGTTCTACCTGTACTAACCTACATACCAAGCCCTGGATTGTGTAACACAGGCTAATACCATGTTGTAACCTGATCCAGGGTCAGCAGTACAGGGAGGTCATGCTGAAGCTACTGAAGGATCACCTTAAGACCAGGTATTTAAACAGGAATCACCAGTGGATCATCCTCTTCCCAGAGGGAGGATTTCTCAGGAAGAGGAGAGAAAGGAGCCAGAAGTGAGTAAATCTTATCAGTAAACCAAATCAGAACAGGTGTATTATTCATATATCATAGTTGTTACAGAGGCCAGCTGTTTGCAGAGATTTTCCATTTAAACAAGACTGAGTTAATGATGTCTCTGATGCTGTGAGGTAGCTACAGGAAAATGATAGGGACAGTCATGGATTTATTTTACTTTAAAACCTTTGGTTACCCCATATCAAAACATTGCCACGTATTCCCTGTGTTTCAGGTATGCAAAAAAGCACAACCTGCCTGTCTTACAGCATGTGGCACTTCCTCGAATTGGAGCCATGAAAACCATTCTGGACAATGCTGGCCCACCATTGGCCCAGAGAAATGGGCCACTGCAGGAAAATGGTGCAGTGCACTCAGAAGGCAAGTCATTGTTTGCAGTGTGGAATTCATGATACATGTCATCTAAAAAGCAGATTACTGCAAAGAGTCTTGCTAGACAAATACTCTTGTGACATTTATTAACCCATGGCAATCATTATATATTTACCCTGATGGACCTCGGTAAAGGTTAAGGAATGGGCCGTGAAGACCGAGGACCGGGAAACACCAACCCAAAAGGCCCTCAAGGGCTAGGTTGTGGGTGGGCGGGTGGGTAAAAAAACCAAACGCAAAAAAGAGGTGTGCCCCTCTAGACACCCGGAACTGTCTAGCAAACTACGGTAAAAAAACCCTACGCTACAAAACTCTAGTCTTCCCGCCCGGCTGGGTTTGCCGCGAAAGAAGGATTAATTGGAGATGACGTCATAGGTCGTGACCTCTCGCGAGAAGATCTCGCGATAGGTCACAACTGTTATGACGTCAGTGGGAATAATTATATATTTACCCTGATGGACCTCGGTAAAGGTTAAGGAATGGGCCGTGAAGACCTCGGTATCTTTCTTCGTAGTTGGCCAGCCAAGCGCTCTCCTACTTCCTCCCTCACCCTTCTCCAAACCTCATCTATTCCCAAATCTACTTCTCCAAACCTCACACCTCCTCGTCGTCCCCACTCTGCCCCAGAGATAAGACACAGACTCCGCAGTAGTATGATCATTTTAATGTATAACATGGCGGTACAGTCTTTTGCTCTAACACATTACCAATCATCACAGTTATTAATTACCCTGTTGTGGAGACATTCCTTCTCTTTCCTTTCCTCACTGACTAATCAAGTACATGCATTTTATCTCACTGTTTTGGGGCTACTTTCGCTCCGACGAACGCCTGCTCAAAACCTTGCAACGAACTATTACTTCTGTACAAAGTTGCGAACTGGGACGCCATGGGAGGTTCACCTGCTGCTATACTTGCTAACACACGGGAGGAGCCTTGCGGATTTAAAACCCTCGCAATTTGAGTATAATGATCGGCCATACTAGGGGTTTTCCAACCCATATGCGTTAATACCTCTTGTTTTGGTACTCCTGCCATAGTTAGAAGAATAGCGACAGCTGCCCTTATGCCGTGCAAAGTTTCTCCTTCATTAATCCCTAACCTATCTAAATACCACCGGAGACGGGCACCGGCCGCCTTGGCGGGGAACGCCTCCTCTAAGACAACATTTCCTTTAGTGTTCCGGAATAGCGGACCACCCGTTAACGGGACTCCGATGGCGTCACACACCTCCTTGTACCAAATTACCGCTTCCACAGGACAGATAATCTTACTCGAGCACCTGACCACAGCAAATACCCGGGAACAACCCCCTCTCAACGTCTTCGTCAAAGTTTGATTAAAGATTAAACCACTACCGTCTGGGAACTGTAGTATCTCTTGAGTGAGCAAATTAGAGATGTCTTGACCTCTATCACCAGAGAAAAAGGCTAGCTTTAAGAAAGCCTGGTCCCTGGCTAGTAAGTAGATCTTAATCGGGGTTACTTCAGGTGCCCGTACCTCCTCGTCTATAAACCTGGCTATTCGCACCAACTTGTCTAAGAACAGAGGTATGGCCTGCTTAGGGGTAATCGCGACTCTGGCCTGGTTCTCCGCTATTATCTTTATATAGCGGCGGATAGAGTGGTGCTTCGTCGGGTTTCCTTTTACTGCGTTATCACCCCATTCCTTAACTTTGCCTCTTTCCTCGAAGGAGCTCCTTAACTTCGAAACTAGGCTGTTTAAGGAACCGGCAGCTAGACTAACTGGGCAGCCGCAAGGTTGGGTGCCCTTTAGACCCCTCTTACAGCAAGATAATCTATGGATCTGAGTTCTCCCAGCCGAGTTCTTGTAAGCTAGATATCTTAACACGTCTCTTGGCTCTGCCTCATCCACCGATCTCTGGCCGGGTAATCGAGACAGGAAGAGCGAGAAATCGGCGAAAGATGAAGTTTTTTGCTTCTCATAACTTGAGGTCTGCCGAAGGATCCCATCCACCTGAGCATCTAAGGCTGAGATGTCCACGTTCAGGGATGTGGCACCCTGGGGGGCATGTGTGGTGTTGGAAGAACCTACCAGGGGCGCCGACTCTGCGCTCCTTGCCTAAAGACCAGGACAAAGGGAACACACAATAATAGAGACCCAACTGAACTCCTAACATGACTTACCCCCTACATCTGCGTCGAAAAGACGCTATCACACCTCCGCAAAAAATTTAGGACCTCTAATAGTGATCTACTCTGAAAACCCACAAATCCCACGTAATGGGTTTTGGGCGGTAACCCTTAGGGGAAGGGAATAGTACAACCTCTTTATCCCCCCGTTCTGCCAGCAAGAATTTCCTAGAGGCCCTTGAGTTAATGACCGCCCACCAAAAATGCTTAATGGTAGTGTCTGGGAGGACGATAGTATACGGTACCCTCTGTTGGCGAAGGTGTGCGATACAAGCTCCCGCCAAGCAGATGGGAGGGAAAATGTACCCGTTGAGCTCTTTACTTACATCTTGATTGAAAAAATCCACTCCCGCGGAGTCCGGGGAGGCTGAAGGGGTAAAATGGCGAGGAACCATCGCATTTGAATCTAATGCCATAAAATCAATGGAATGGGGACCAAAGCAATCTTCTACCCTAGCCCACGCTTTAGGTGACAGCGTAGCATCTTGCGGTGAGAGTACTCTAGAGGGTTGGTCTGCTATGTTGTCTGCAGATTTAACATACTTCAAGGTCAGGGAAGCATTGTTGTTTACCAACCAGTGGAAAATTTCCTTTAAGGTCCTACTTAACGAGAGATCCCTGCCTCCTTGACTTTCCCACGCCTTTATTACCGCCTGATTATCAGAATGGACTATGATCCTTGAGTTGCAGAGGTTGACCGAAAAGGCTTTAAGCGTCAGGAGGATCGCTCTTGCTTCTTTAATGTGAATGGGCAGGTCTTTTTCTTTGGTCTGCCAATAGTCCCTCGTTTCCCCTTTTTGACCCCCTGCCGAGACTACGATGCCCGCCCAACCGAAGTTTGATGCGTCCGTTGTGACCTGCAGCGTGGAGTGGGCTTCTTTCACCCAAGGGAAAATCTGATTTGTATCGTCGAGCAGCCTCCAATGGCGCAGCTCATCTCTTAACTCCGGATGAAGCTTAATCGGACGCCCTGTGGCGATCGCCTCTGCTATCGCTCTGTTAGTTTCTCGTGTGAATAACAACGCCATCGGGATCATGATCGCGAAAGAGGCACACTTACCCGCGAAGCGCTGCAGAGTACGTACGTCTACCTCTTCTGACTCCAAGATGTGCTCTCTAAGGGTTCCGAACTTTGCTGCTTTATCACAAGGTATGCCGAAGGCCAAATGCACTGAGAAAATGAGGGAACCCAAGAACTTTACCACCGTTGTCGGAATTAAAGTGGATTTCTCTAAGGCTAGGAAATATCCTAAATCGACTAAGACCTTGCACAAGATGAACGCGCCTGCCTGTGCCAAATAGAACTCTTCATTTTCCTTCTCGGGAAGGCTCACTGTGGGGGTCGCGGGTTGATTACGCTTTAAGAGGGGTCCCGCATGTCTATCATCTATGTATTGCGATACCGGTACACCCAGAGAGATAATGTAAGAGGTTGCTAGCTTGCCTGTGGTGTTATAAATGAAACCAGAGCTTTTAAAACCAAACGGCAAGGTTCTGCACACTAACCACCAACCCCCCCACTCTATTCCCAGGAAAAGGCGCGAGTTCTCTTGCATCAAGATGTGATCATAGCCAGATTTGTCGTCGCAAACTACCTGGAAACAGCCTTTGTATATGTACCTTGTTACATCAATGAGTCGGTCAAGCTTAAAAGGGCAGTCACGGATCCATAAGTTGAGAAACCTCTCATCGTGGCAAAGCCTAGGCTTCGACGGCTCTACGACCAAAGGCATGGTTAGATACGGCGGGTCCACTTCCCCCACCCTACCAAGTACCTCTACCGCCCCCGAAGCAATTCTTTCTTCCAAGGTTTTAGTTATGAAATGCGCAAACTTCTCATTACTACGGTAGTTAGGAAAATACATTGACGGAGGCTTCGGACCTTTATAATGTCTCCCCTTAAAAGAGCCTTTGAAAGGGCGGAAAAAATCAAAGATATTCACCCCTTCCGATACCCAACTCAAAACTTCTCCATCTGTAATTCCTAGCTTCTGCCCTAACTCCTTCCAATACGGAACATGTTCATGTATTTCCCCTGCTCTAAAATGCTTTGGGTCCGGGAAACAAAGTTGTTGTGGGGAGGCCCACTGCCTGAACGATGCTACCTCCTCGACGGACGGCGTCGGGCCCACTGGAGCGGGAGTTTCCCCCCTCCAATCCACCCAAAGAATGTCGGCGTTTCTTTTCTCCAGAGCTCCTAGCGGGTCGAACGGGTAGAGGAGCTCCCATGCCGGGGTGGAAATCTTCGTCTCCTTAGATGGGTTGCGAATTGGTTTCTACCGAACACAAAAACCAATTTTACTAGTGGATACGGTAAGATCCCACAAAAGGAAAAGAAAAACTGGAGGGGGGGGAAATCCCGCTCGCTTCCCGGGCCGTCAGATATGGACGGCACGGTCCTTAGTTGGGCCGACACGGTCCGCGAGAGGGAAAAAATTTGGGCAAAAACCTAGGGTAATCAAATCGGAATTTTTTTTTTCAAATCCGAAACACAAGAACATGTTACTGCCGGAAACTCTTGAAAGACATTAC